TTTGAGGAAGTATGTGCATGTTCTGATGCCCAACAGGTGATAAGCTCATTCAAGCATCAAATAGATTATCACTGGGTTTTTTTTTGAAATCCAAGATGTTATTAAGAAACTTTAACTCAGCTAACATTCTGTATGTAAATAGACAGTTTAACAAATCAGCTCATGCGGTATCCTAATTAGCTAAATTGTATTCCTTTTCTTTTCTTGTTAGCCTAGACTAGTATTTAATTTTCAAAACTAAAGTATGGAAACATCTCCTCACAAATGACAACAAGAAATGTTTCCCATGTGCCACTGTAATGTGCTAGTGGGTTAGGGTAGAAAGTAGATACAAGTTCTCAAGTTTTATGGCCTACACCACTCCAATCTTGTGTGGCTGACATGGGGTGTTATTATTGGTTAAACATACAATCCCCAATACAGTCATTAAGTGCAGTTCATTCGATTCATTTGCATATCATTGAGTGCTGCATCGTCATCAAATACTCTCTAGTTTGATTCAAATCATACATGTTTTAGAGTTGTAGAACTATTCTCACTCCTCCAATGGAAACCGCAAGGAAACAAACAACTACATATATTGAGAAATTGAAAGCCAATGTATTTACAATACCATTCTGTAGTATGAGCCTAGAATTATAAGATATTAGAATTTGGGTATGCTCCTCACAGAGCGTACCTCATATCGATCTCACAGGTACATCGTACCATGCATTGGAAACATCTCTCATAAATAATAATATAKAGAGAAAATTCCCGATAGGTACCCTGTACTTTAGGTCGAGTGTCAATTTAATACCCGAACTTTAAAATGCGACAATCTAATTTCCAAACTTTTGAAATGCAACAATCTAGTACATGTTGTTAACCAGCCGTTAAGTGTCATGGGAAAAGACACAAATGCCCTTTAAGTGTCATCTAATTTTCTTTATCAACCATCTGTTAATAGGTGACCTAGGTGTTCCATTACTAGTTGATAAAGCAACAACTGTGTAACAAATGCCCTTCAAGTTAAACGCAATTCAGCATTTATCAGTCTTCGAAGGGAAAACCACGGGTTCCTCTATTAATAGACAAAGTGGTGTGGGTCATTGGCCGGATGCCGTCCAAGCTGGTTCAACTGAACGTTTATTTCCCCATGCATAGAGTCCCTTGACCACAACCATCTGTTATCACAACACTCCAAAGCGTAGGATGGTCAGCGGTTATCTATTGCAACAAGTGGTGCCTTGCAGAGGCAGCAATCAAGCACATAATCGTCCAAACAATCTTCAATTTCAGTTTACCGTTCATACAAAATGAGCCACGGGAGGTCTCTTCACCTCCCACCGATGCCAAAGGCATCAAGCAATCATTCCTATCTCCTTTCCCAATACATGTAAGCTTCGTTTTCTAAAAGGAAGTGGCTCCTAGTAACACACAACTCTGTAGCGAGCTGCCAAATTCACCCCTCCATTTTAGCAACAACCCATCACCACCACCACCATAGCTGTTGGAGTCGTCAAGGAGCTGTATCCAGAGGGCCCGAATCTCGTTGAATCTCTTGAGAACTTGTACGGGAGAATAATGGAAGGGAGACCCATATGAGATGCTCTTCTTCTGATTAAGGAGAAGGGTCCACTACAGGAACCGAAGAGACTTCAAGATGATTCTATATAGCAAGAACTTGGCCAAACCTGTAGCTAAGTTGCTGCCATGAGATTCAAAAGAATCATGATCATCAACATCAACAGAATCGTCAACATAGTTGACCTTAACAACAATTGAGTCGACTTGACAAACGAGGGAGCTGAAGCTCTTGTCAACGGTGAGGCAGTGGCCGAACGTCTTGGCATCTTGGATTTTGTTGAAGATGAGACATAAGAGCGAGTCATGTAAACAGTTGAAGTGATCATGTGCTTCAAGACTGGCCGTAGAGCATAGCAGTTGAAGCTTGAAAGTTTGAAATGAACAAAACTTAGAAATAAAGGCCTTAAATCGCGAATAAAACAGCCGAGTGTCTTGGTCTAGACTGTTGAGAGACAGTTTCAAGAAGATGATGAACAGTGTGTTGTATTTCTAAGATTAATTTTGACATTTTCAAAAGTCTTAAATCGCATATGAGGTCACATGATATACATAACTAACAGTCTATTAACAATAGGTACTAGATTGTTGCATTTTGAAAGTTCGAGTACTAGATTGTTGCACTTTAAAGTTTGGGTGCTAAATTGGCACTCAACCTAAAGTACAAGGTACCTATTGGGATTTTTTCCTAATATATTAGTGTGGGAAATGTTCCCGATACATGGAGACCGGATTTGCTCTTCACACAGGGCACCTCACACCGACCTTACACGCATATCCTACCAATGCATTGAGAATATCTCCTATACTTACAAGTTATTATTCATGAGAGATGTTCCTAATGCACGATGGATGTGCCTGTGAGGCACCCATGCGTGAGGAGTAGATCCCGTTCCCAATACATGGTGGGCTGCGCCTGTGAGRTCGATTGGTGTGAGGAGAGATCCTGACTCTAAACTTTTATCATTTTTTTTTGTGGGTCTTATCATTTTAAATTTATTGTAGGATGTAGCCGTACATAATGCCTTATGTATGGGTGTAATGTGGCCCACTTTTGTAGGCCGTGCCTGCTTGGTACAGCCCATGGCCCGTACTTGGGCTGTGGGAAAATGGTCCAATTGTTCATGTCGGCTTATGGGCCTAAAAACCCAAGCCTAGCACGACATGGGGTTTGGGGCCAGGCCTGGCACAACCCGCTTGCTACAGTGATCAGGCCATAGCGGCCTAACACACTTTACAACTCTAGCCTTATGATATATGTATAGAAACAAATCCCATGACATAAACAAAATAAACTTTGGTAGTAGTGTTTCTTTTTCATTTTTGTACTTGGCAWTTGTTAAATCAATCATTTAAAAATCGACATAGAATTGGAATCGCTTTGACCACCGGTTTTTGGGTTAATTGTTCAACCATTCAATCTGAATGTATTAACCTATACTTTAAAAAATAAAAAAAAAAACAATTAAATTAATCAAAATAAAAAATGGTCCAAAAACCATTGTTCAGGTCAAACAAATCAATGGTTCGATTGCCTTTTGTGGACTGAAATGGAACCAATATCCTGATAGATTTCCAAGCTGAACGGTCCAACCGTCAAGCCAACAATGGTTTTAAAACGTTGATCTAAACTATGAACCCCTTTGTGGACCGTAAAGTTTGCAAAAGTTCAAAGGAAACAAGGTTGGGAAAAGATAGTATGGGCCTGTGAAGTCCATTTTCTTCATCTCTCTCTCTCTCTCCCCATTAGAGTAGGGATTGGGTGTATTTGAGCTGAGCTTTGGGTGCCTCGAGCTTGACTTGTCTCGAGCTCAATCGAGTTTTGAGTTTCATACTCAAACTTGACTCAAGTCTATACTTGCAAGCTACTTGAGCTTAACTCAGCTCAAGCCAATTATAAATATATTGATATTAAAAATTATAAATAAATTAATTTTCAAAATATTATAAATTAAAATTATTCAAAAATTTGATTATATATTAAAAGTTATAAAAAAATATATTATGAAATGTGATTATGAATTTATTTATGTGATAAAAAAATAATTATTTATATTATAAATAAAAAATATTAAAAAATAATATTTTACTAAAAGCTTGATTAGGCTTGCAAGCTACTCAAACTGGGTATTACGAAGTTTGAACTCAGCTTGGCTAACTACTTGACGTGATGTGATAATCTTTGAGCCAAGAGTAGGGGTGTTCATGGCCCAGTTTGATTAGGTTTGGAGAAGATCTCAGACCAAACTATTCATTTACAATTTGAGAAATTCTTAAACAAAACAAAACCATCTTAGTATAGAAGCCAAGCCTGACCAAACCATTCTATTATGGTTTGGTCCTCTTTCTAATACAGTTTGGACCATTCTGTTGGGCTTAACCCAATTAAAAAGCCCAAATAACATGCATAGCTATATAAATAATAAATATAATTCAAAGATCAAATTGAAATGTTAGCAAGTTTCAGTTAGTACTTCACACTTTCTCAAACATAAACAACTCCTTGAACATCAAATTACCAAGTTAAAAATTGAAACAAACATCAATAATGTATGAACTGTAAAATGAATATATACATATGTTTAAACATATGTATTATATATTATATACATTAATAAATGTATCATTAATAATTTGGTTTAATGGGGTTTACCATTTGATTTGATTTCTAAAATTTAGAAAACAAACTAAACAAAAAAAATTACGGTTTAAGAAATTATCATATCAAACCAAACCGGACCAAATTGCCAATTACAATTTGGTTCGTTTTATGTTCTCACGGCTTAAACCAGAACATTAACACCCCTAACCAAGAGTATTTAGGGAGCCTTCGCTGGGACCCATTTAATTGTGGGCCTCATCCCCGACCCCTTTGGGCTTTGGTAATTCTTGATATGTTATCCGCCAAGCTGTCAACCCTGACCAAAATTGAAGCAGAAATACAAGGACAAGGAAGGAAAAAAAAAAACAAATAGAGAGGAATGAGGGAGAAGGACGAATAGAGACCATTGACTTCTGGCATGGGAATAAGACCGCGATTCCCGTACATATTCGGATATTCCCTTCTCATACCGTAAAATTACAAAGAGGGACAAAATAGTCATTTTAATCACCATCCTCATCGGCTGATCCTGATGATGAAGCCGTCTGTCTGTTGGATGCTTCTCTGTGCAAATCTGTGTATTTTACTGGGTAGTGAATTTCCTAATGTATCCAAACCAATGCCCTTAATAACTAAATGGCCTCAATTAGACCATGCATATTTGTTTGGCTGCTTACGCTCTTTAAAAATTAAAATTTTATTTATTATTATGAAATACGAATATTTCTACTACTTCCCTATCTCCAGCTCTCTCCCATTTCTCTACGTGTAGGACTGACTGTAGAGGCTATATATATATATACTTAGAACACAGCCTCGTTAAACGCACGCCACAGACAACAAAATAACGGTCAATTGGGTGCAACTTGCCAAGTCTTTACTAGCGTTTGGCTGCCGGAAAACTGGTCTGAAATTGCTTATTTTGTTATGGAGGATGATGGTGGAGAGTCAGGGTTCGGTGGTGGCGACACCGGTTTAGCATCGGGATCCGCTAATAAGTCCAACGGCTTCAGCGGAAGAAATGAGATAGTGGAGATGAAGAGGGAGGAGGAGGAGGAGGAAGAGGAAGAGATCCAACCCGCTGAAGATTACATATATGTTGCAGTGGGCAAGAGCAACTCCGGCATGGATGCGCTCCGGTGGACCTTGAATCACTTACTGAAGCCCTCATCCTTAGTCTTTCTCATTCATGTCTTCCCTGAGGTCCGGCACATTCCCACTCCCCGTAAGTTCTTCATCTCTCTCTCTCTCTCTCTCTCTCTTGGTTTCTTCTTCCTGGGAGGGAATATCAGGTGAAGCTAGTTAGCTCTAGCCATTATTGAGTAACATAGCTTGACGCAAGGGAAGATGCTGAGTGCATCCGGAGAAGAAGATAGTTCACTCTCTCTCTCTGGGGAAGGAAAGCGACAAAAGATGGGGAGACTTTGAAAGTAAAAATGCTGCCAAAAAAGCTTTCAAAGGCTCACACTTGATTGGATTCATAAGACAGAAAATCAAATTAGATCAACGACGTGATGTCTCAGCCACTGACCCAGTATTCCCCATTTCCCAGCTCTCTAATCAATCAAGCGTTTGATTTGATTGATAGCTAATGACATCCCACCGAGATCAATTGAATCCTTCATCTGAATGACTTCTCTTGATTCTGGATTCATGGCCATAACTCTCTGATCGTCGGTCAATGTAACTATACAAGTCTCGAAGATATATTCGCCTCATGTACTAGATATAATTCCATAATCACAACATATTTTAGTTGGACTAATCACGAGTGGAGTAGCCCAAGTTGAATTTGAATAGGATAATCCTTGCTAGGGCCTACAACTCACCAAATCAAAACAAAAGTTTGAAGATTTGAAGATTTTGATTGATTATAATTATTTCTGAAATAGCAATAATCAGACCAACCATGTTGGCAAACACAACCCCTTGAACTTTATTTGAAACTGTTTGGCCTCCCTCAATTGCAATTAAACCAAGGATCTTACGGTCAACATGGAATGGGAATTGGAATGGCCCATTCTGATTTTAACTGTTTGGTTGGGTAGAATTGAATCCCATTCTCCCTTGTGGAATGGTATTTCCCAATGAAAATCCCAACCTAGGTGATTTTGAGATTCTAATTCCAAAGAATTTTGATTTTCCGACTCCAACTAAAACCAAATGGTTGCAATTTGAACCTCTTCCCTAACTCTAGCTGATGCATATTGCACGCACTCTATGTATTTGCTTGTTGATGACAGTGGGAAAGCTCCCAAAGGAACAGGTGAACCCAGAGCAGGTGGAGAACTACATGAACCAAGAGAGGAGAAAGATACGACAACTCCTCCAAAAGTATCTCGACCTCTGCAATGCTTCCATGGTAGGCAGTATTACTATTACATAAGCAAGTAATACTGAACCAGACAGACAACCCAACTCAGATTTCATTTGGTCCCCTTAACATTGACGACTGCAGGTAAACGTGGACACAATACTCATCGAGAGTGATTTCATTGCCAAGGCTGTGATTGATCTGATTCCTATTCTCAACATAACCAAGTTAGTGGTAGGGAAATCCAGCAGGTAGGTGAATCGATTAAAAATCAAAGAGTTTCCGGCGTGAAATATCAAAGTATGAAGAGACCCTTTTGTTTGTTTGATGCTTGTTTCTGACATTGATTGATCAGGAGGTCCAGGAGGGGAAGTGGAGTAGAAGACCAGATAAAGAAAAATGCACCAGTTTTCTGTGATGTTAAGATCATATGCGAAGGCAAGGAGGTGACGAGAGAGCAGACGGAGTCACCTACATCCCCATCTCTACGCGGCGGTGACATCACTACTACACCAACCACCCTGGAACTGGAAGATCAAAGAGATACGTCTGTTTCTTGTGCTTGCTTTACACGAAAATTCATCTAAATCTCATACATGTTATGATTCTTATTATTAATTTCTGATTAATAATATTACAATTTCTGTATAATATATTAATATTAAAGAGAATATAAGACTATCAACTGCACGGTTGGAAGAAGTGATTTGTTACACATTGAAGGGAGTAGAAGAACTCCACGAGAGTAGATCAAACAAAATATGGGTAGAACCGTAGAAATACTAAGAAATGATTTAAGCATTAATAATTTAACAGTAGATATGACTTTGAATAGAGCGGATTGATGAAAGAGAACTCATGTAGCCGACCCATATAGTTGGGATAAGGCATGGATGATGATGAAGCTGATGRTTATTTTATCCACGTCCAACATTTTTTTAGGGATTAAACTTTGGATCCGAATTACAGCCACATAAATCAGTCCCATTTGTGTTCAAGAAAAGTTAAAGAAAAAGAAAATTAAGAATCAATCATTCAGTCCCATTTGGTTCATGCCCATGTAAATTACATAACGATTTGGTCCACATGCGACTCCAAAGCATGTTTTTTTGCAAATTCACATCTTCATTTTGATATATTTGATGGCAGTACTCGGTCTTTATCTATAAGAACATTCTCTCGTATTAGGCAATGACCCTACAACAACATCAAAATAGTTGGGACTCACAACAACCACCTATATAATAAAACCATGAAGTATTTGAAATGAAATAACAATCTTAGATTAAAAAACTAATCCAGACACAACTCCAACAAGAATTTCATAAAACTCACATATAATGAAGTAGTAAAAAATCTGTCATTTAGGCTCAGTTTGGAAGAAGTATAAATACAAATATGTAGACTGCAAAACCATGTATTCTGTATCATTTTGTATGTATTTGTATTGTACATATTTGTATTTATACTCCTTCAAGCCTCAAGATCAAAAGTAAATGCAATAAAAAACTGGCTTTCTGTTAAACCGGCACTCAAATGATTATGTTTATATGTATATATATATACATACTCCAATAAAAAGTATGAATTAAGTTTTAGACTTTTGTTCACATATGAAATTCCTATGGGTATTAAAGACCAACTCAAAGMAGCATTTAGAGACTTCACACTAGCAATGGGAGACATATATGTTAAGGTCTAGAAAATTTTCATGAAAAATGAAGGAATTTGGTGGTTTGGGGATGCAGAATTTAGAGAATAAAAACACTTCAATCATAATGAAGCATATAAGGTTGGATCTCCTTCAAGCAAAAATTCTGATTGCATACCGTCCCACCACATATTGGGAATATCTCCTGTACATTTATTTTAAATTCATGGGGAGATGTTCCTAATGTGAGGTAGGATTAGGGATGGAAATTAGGTGGGGTGTAGCCGGGTTTTGTGTGYCCTGTCCCCCTGAACTCAAATATCCCACCCCCATCCCCACCTCGAACCCCATTGGGGCTAGAAATCCCAACCCCATCCCCATTCCACAGGGAACAAGGATCTTTGAATTTTCCCTACCCCACCTGGGTCATTCTTACTTACAAATTTATTTATTTTTTAGTTTCTTGAAACCTGCCTAGAACTATATAATATTATATAATATAACATATATACATAGTCAGGTGGGTTCGGGGTCGAGTCAAGGGCGAGGTGGACAAATACCATGTGTAGACATTAAAATTTTCATGGGCTCCCAAATGGGTCATATCCTTATAAACTCAAATTTGCTCATGGGCCTTAGTATGGGTCCTTCCATTTGGACCTTGGCCCATACTCTCAAATATGGGAAAAGGCCTTAAAAATTGGGCTTTGTGGTTGTAAATCCATTAGCACAAGGGATAGTCCATGTGGGACCCACTATGAAGTCAAGTTCAAATTCATTAGCACAAGGCCTTAAAAATTGGGCTTTGTGGTTGTAAATCCATTAGCACAAGGGATAGTCCATGTGGGACCCACTATGAAGTCATGTAAATCCATTAGCACAAGGGATAGTCCAATTACAAATCTTATTGTTTTATGGAAATAATCCAATTAGAACCCATCTCAAGTCCTAAACATAGAAATCTAGTCAATAATTAAAGAGAGAATAATTGATTAAAAAATTATTCTCTCCATAAATGGTAAATTGCCAACTCTCTTCTTATGAAAGGAAATTAGAGCCAATCAAATCTGTAGTCAATCAAGGCATGTCTTCCCATAAATGAAAATTATCCAATGATTGAAAAGAGAAATAATGGATAATAAATTACTCTGTCCAAAAATGATAGTAATGGAGATGATGAAGCTGTATAGGGAAAAATGTAGTAGGATTTTATAAGGAAGATTGGCTTTACATGTATATGGATATTGTGGAGGCTGAGGGCAGGAATGATGCTCTAGCGTTGGCATGGAGAGAGGATTTGGATGTCGAGGTCCTTTGGTCTAGTAAATGTCTAATATCTGCCATGATGAAGAGCCAAGCAATCGGTGGAACAAGAATGGTTGCTAGTTTGCACATATGGAGACCCAACTCAGAGAAAGAAACAACCAGTGTGGGAATTAAGATTTCAATGAAATATATAGTTGATTAATCGGCAGAGATTAGTTATTGATTGGCTTTCAAAGGAGGAAGGAGGATGACAGATAATATTGAAGAGATTAAATTCAAGATGTTTCCCAAATGGGCACACTCAAAGCACCAAAACTCGACTATGACTGCATTATTTTGTCAAAAATCTTGGCAAGTTATTGGTCCTGAAGTTGTTCATTACTTCATTTTATACAATCCTTGTTTTTAGGGCATGATCTATAACCTGAAATCAATTTCATTAATGATGTTCTTATTCCTAAGATTAAGCACTAAACTAAGAAGCCGTCACTCATTTTAGGCTTATTGGCCTTTGCAATGTGCTTTATAATTTTTTTTCCAAAATTTCTGGCTAATAGGCTTAGAATGGTGATTAACAAAATCATATCATGTTTGTGCTTGGCTGTTAGATTAGGAATAATGTCATCATTATATGAGGAAACAAAGGGAGACATGGGGATTTTGGCCAAGTAGATTATGGCACATGAGCTCTGGCTATTGTTTTACTTTGTTACCTGTTTGGTGCAATAAAAGGATTTAAATTGAAACATACTCAAAAATGTGCTCGGATAACAAGTCCAGATCAATTTGATTATTCAGTTCAACCACAAGATAATCAATGTAATCAGTCAGCTCAACTAGACCACAACAAATCTACCTTGTACAACACATGTACACTTTACTAGTCGTAAAAAGCTTCTGATCATAATCATTGCCATTGAGAAATTTTGCAGGATCCATTCAAATACAAGAGCATGGTTATACCTTTTTTTTGGCTGAAAGTTGGTAATGATTTCTTGATGTGGTAAACCACTACCAACTCCATTGCTTAGCCCCACCTCTCTTCATGCTCTCTCTCTCTCTCTCTCTCTCTCTCAGTCACAGCCCCACCTCCCGCAGGGTGGCCTCTGGTAATGCTATCATCAATAGAGAAAGAAAAAAGAAACAAAAGAAAGTATTTTCCTCTTTTATACCCAAAAATATGCAACTGTTATGGATGAAGAAGAATCAACTCTCCAGCTTCAGCAATACAAATTTGGAATGGTTCCTAACGACAAGCACATCCCCATCTATCAATAAATGAACAAGATGAAGAAAAATAAGAACCCCACCATTTCATCAATCATCATCATCATCTCTCCCTGAAATACAAACGAATCACAACCGAGTTCATCAAATCACTAAAAGAAATCGAATTCAAGATAATTATCAGAACTCTTCTGATCAAGGGTGGCAGTGGCAGCCTTCTCACTAGTAGATGCTGTGGAGGCTGGAATTCTCTCTATCTCTACTGGCTTTGGGATCTCAGGTGGGCTGGCACAACGTATTAGAGCCCAGTTCACGCCTTCAAAGAATGGATGCTGCTTGATTTCTGTTGCCCCCCGCTTGAAAGCCAGCCTATGCTGTGGTTCCTTCACAAGAAGCCCCCTAATCAGATCCCTTGCTTGGAAGCTAACAACCGGCGACTCCGGGAACCGCAGCGGCTGACCCACAACATTGAACAGTGTTGCACGATTCCCTGACCCTTTGAATGGGGTCTTGCCAAACAAGAGCTCATACAGAAAAATCCCAAATGTCCACCAGTCTACAGCACTGCCATGGCCTTCACCTTTGATGATCTCAGGTGCGAGGTACTCGTGTGTCCCAACAAATGACATTGACCGTGCCCCCGTTGGCTCGGCAATGAGCTCTGGCAATGGGCTCACCTGGTTCCCAATTTCATTTTTAGGCTTCCTGTCCTTCTTAGACTTGCTAGAGAAGAGGCGGGGAGAGAAGCATGTTGTGGGGGCTACACAGGATGGCTGTATACAGGTCGGCTCAATGCAGGCCGGCTGGACACAGTAGACAGGGTTTCTCCGCAATGGCTCAGAATCAAGAGAAGACGACTTGACAAGAGTTGGGCTAACAGCACAACGGAGAGAGAGGTCAAAATCTGAGAGCATTATGTGACCATCTTCCCTCACGAGAACATTCTCTGGCTTCAGATCACGATAGACTATCCCCAGCATGTGGAGGTACTCCAGAGCTAAAAGAACCTCTGCCACATAGAACCTGCATGCTAAAACTAGTTATAACAAATTCATGGGAAAGAACAGGGGAAAAATATACAACATATACACTCTTTTCCATGATAAGCTTTCACATTTTGGCATGTTTCCATTCTAGCTTGCAACAATGGAAATAGTTTCTACTAATTTTATCTTGGTTATTTAATTGATTTTATAAAATAGCAAGTATAGAACATAAATTAAATCATTGGTGCATTAACTTCAGAGTCTAATAAATTTACTTTAGGAGAGCAGCTCAATTTCTCTGAAACACTTGCAGACATCTTTTGTGATCTTTGGGAAGAATTGCTCTTTGGAGAAACATGAAATAATGAAAATTGTAAGCTTTTACAGGTTTTTTGTCTATCATTTTCATTGGTCTCTCTGCAGAACAAATCTGGGAGGCCTTAGATATGGTGATTCAAGTATGCTTTTATCTAGCTCATAAACGAAGTTCTCTTAAGCTTATGTTTCTTTGTCTGTGGTGGACAAATACCTAGTTTACATATTGAGATTCCAATGAGGCTTTATTTTTAACATTGGAGATAACTAAATTCTAACCTTTTTTCTTTTTTTGCTTCATGGTAGCCTGAGGGTGTACATTTTTCTTTTGCTAGTCTAGCACTAAACCCTAGAATCAAATCAATTGATTATCTTGTTCTGGTTACCTTAAGTCCCAAATCCCAAATTTTGCATTTTCTATTCACTCAACTTGGAATACTCCATTGACCTACCTTATCTGCTAAAAGTCTGAACTTTGAAACTGAACTAGTTGGTTGAGGACAACTGATTGAAAAGTCAGTTGAAAAGTCTCTGGGTTGTTTTAAATAGATGCGTCACATTTGTTTATTAAATAATGCTTTCAAATCCAGCTCTGAGCAGAACCTAATATATTTTRATTCGAAAACACCTACCCAGTGTCACATCACTCAGTCCTTGAAATACCAGCTAAAACACCCATATTTTGATGGGAGATAAAATTTCAATGACTGAAATGTGTAAAAGGCTGGGACTTACAAGTTCCAAAAACCCAATTCTTCCCATCCACCACTTTCCATATGCGTTTGAATCTAAAACAGACATGTAAAGCAACAGCAATACCTTTTGAGGTAAGTGTAACCCTAAAGCAGTGCCACTCATCCAGATAAAGAAATTTCTTTTGTTAAAAACATGATGATGAACATAACTTGTGGACCAGTTTAAGGAAATACAAATTGCAATGCTATAATACATGCCAGACATTTCAGAGAATCAACCACTTCCAGAATCCATGCAAGGGATGTTCAACCAACTATTTTCAACATATATCTGAGAAGCTAACCAAGTATCTTGCATGCCTTTCTCTGAAAACTGTACTTCCTAACCACCTTCAGGCTCCTATTATTTAAAAAGAAAATTTAACTTCACATAAAAAAAGAACTACATCTAAGATCTGCTAACCACCCTCCCCATAAAATATTAACCAGAATAAATGAATTCTTACTCAACATTGCCCCCATAACCAGAGAACATCTAAACAAAATGTCAGACAACCTCAGTTAAGATTCGATATACTGAACCATGCTAGAGTGATTTAAGATGCATTTAAGCTCAAGTTCAATTAAATTGTAGTCCATTCAAATATAGATTATTTATTTATTGAAAGATGGAAGTAGATGATTAAAAGTGAAGTCCAGTTTATCAAACTGGATTAAATATCATGCAGAAACCTAAATTGTAACTGCTACTTTTACAAGTACAAAGATCACGTGTAGAGACTTGACAAATTGTATATATTGGTCTATTTTGTAGGTTGTATATAAAAAGTCATTACCCAATGTCAGTCCTAGATATCTGGGGTCTTGGAAGGGGTAGAATGGGTACAGTCCTAACCTTGCGCATTGTTTTACACAAAGTGGCCACCCTTGCACTTGAATCCAATGTTTTTGCACTGGCTAGCCTGAGATTGTATAGGATCATACCAAAAGTTATAGAATCATACATCTAGGGACCATTTATCAAAATAATATCTAGCTCATGCTTAATCTGAAAAGCACTATCTGTAAAGGAATGTGAGAAGCCGAGAACACTCCACCAGGTTGTACCAATAGATACTAAAACATGCATAAAACTTAGGTGGCGTTTGATAAATCTGAAATCTGAAATCTGAAAAGTTAAAAAGATATTATGTGTCTAAAATCTGAAAAGAAGCACATATGATTTTTTACTTTTTAGAGACTCTAAATAGACAAGGTTATTTGTGTTGGATGAATCCTTCAACATCTGAAAATGCCTGATTTTACTACTTCACCCCTAGAACAGATGCAGATTTAACCATTACTGATTCTAAACAAACGAAGGATCAATCTAACAACAAATAACGGGAACCAGATAATTTAAAACATGGAAGAGGAGTTTGAAACAAAAACGAACAGTGATAGTSGCAAACAAACACATATAGCAGCCCCTCTCATCACCGCATTCATCATCAGCCATGGATCTTACGGTGGACAGTTCTACAGAATCCAGCTTGGCAGAGGTTTCATCACCTGACTCTGATGACCTCCTCAGACCCCAATGTTTTGTAACAAAAATCATGGAAAAGAAATAAAAGAAAAGATAATGAAATAACCAAACCGGAGGAACCAAACCTGACTCTGATGACCTCCTCAGACCCCCATTTCATCACCTAACTCTGTCGATCCTGTTCAATCAACAAAGAAGACAAGGACGAGAGGAACGATGAATGGTTTGGGGGTTCACAGGGGTGAGAGAGAGAGTAGAGTAGAGAATAGAAGGAAGAAAAGCTTCCACCTCCCTTATTCTGTCGTATCTGGGTCTGGTTTGAGTTCGGGAGGTTGGAGGAAAGAAGCAAGGGATTTCAGATGGATTTGGATAATCAGAGAGAGAAAGACATGGTTATGGGAGAGAGGACTCATAGCCTGGTGCATTCAATGAGGTAGCAGCAGAAGCAGTGCRGCATCTCCCTTCATTGTCCAAGCAAAAGTGTTCAAATGAAAAGAAATTTGGGTTTAAAAAGGGACATGCATTGTCCATTTGAATATTATCGGGGGCATTTTAGACTTTTTGACATATCTGAAACACATCTGAGCGCATTCAGTGATGGCCCACGGTCTGGCCATTTCAGATCTGAAATACAATCTCAGATGAACTTTCAGATGCATACCCAAACACTTCTGGAGTCTGAAAAGTAGCGTTTTCAGATTTCAGACCTCTTAAAAGTGTTATCAAACACCACCTTACTCATAGAAATTGCTGACTTTAAAAAGAAGAAGCAAACTAGATTCATGCTTTCCCAAAACCATCAACAATCTGGTGTACCAGATCCATCCCTGTCCTTGTCCATAAATTATACCCTCTACAACTACAAGCCCTGGAAAATATAGCCTATCCCTATTCTTATCATTTCAACATTTTAAAAAAAGAAAAATTCTCTAGTATTTTTTGATCACTTCAAAAACTCATGAATTAGCAATTATGTGAACTCAGCCAGATTCTCAAACTTTATTAGATACAAAAGGAAAAGACAAAAAGAAAGGTTCATCTATAAATAAATGAAAGAAGAGAAACAAAATAAAACAGATAGAAGCCAAAAAAGGGGGCCATTACCTAATGTTAGTCCTAGCTATCCATGGTCTTGGGAGGGGTGGACCAGATACAGACCTAACCTTTGACATTTTCTCACGTGAAGCTGCTATCAGACTCAAACTCACATTCTCATGCTTGTCGACCCAAGATTTTACCATTTCACCAAGCGATGGCCCCTAGTTGGGAGCCAAACATTACTTCAAATTTACAAAGAAAAGGAAGTTTTATTTTCTTGAATTTCTTTAAAAAAAAAGTATTTGATAAAGATAACATTACATGCCCTTAGAAGTAAGGAAGTGGAGAAGTTTAAAACTAACCGGTGGCAAATAATATTTTTATCCCAATAGGAGTGCTGCTTGAAGGTAACAGCATGTAACAATTAATACTTTTGAGGTCCACTCAGGTTTTCTGTGAAATGGGTATTAAATAAACCTCACTAGGCTGTTTAGATCCATATATGACATTTCCAGAGTCCACACTTCATTTTATCCAGAACTCAATCTTATTCAGTTCAAATTTTATAGCATCCATCAAAGCAGAGAAATTCTAGCATACCCCAACAATTTATTGTTGTCGTTGTTGTTATTGGTGGGCCTCTCAAGGATTAGTAGTAGGATTCTAACTAAAAAACCAGATTGCTTTTAATTGGATTGCTCATTTATTTATTTCGTTCCTTTAATCAGTGAAAAAGAAAAAGACATGCACATTAAAAAAGAAATGGTCCAGGAGGCACTCTCGAGTGGAACTTTTAGTGCTTCCTAATGTTGATCTTCCAAAATAACATAATAACTATATTATGACAAATATTTAATCAAAACTGGCATTAAATTCTTATCTATCTATCTATCTACCTATCTATATATCTATATATATATAACAACCAGAGTATGCATTTTAACAACATTGAAGAGACTATATTCCATTAACTGTAATGCTCTCAATTAAATAGGCATATGAGAAGGAGAAAGGGTCATACTTCACTGCTTGTTCAGAAAAATGTTTCCCTGGCTGCCTCTGCCGAAGGGTGTGTAAATCTCCTCCAGGACAGAACTCCATAACCAAACATGAGAACTTGTCAGTCTCAAAGTGAGTATATAATGTTGGAAGAAATGGATGGTCCAAGGATTGCAGTATCTCTCTTTCCGTCTGAGCCCGAAGCAGCTTTTTACGGCTTGCTAGAGAACCCTTGTCCATAATCTTCATTGCAAAATAACACTTTGTCCCACTCAACTCTGATAAGTAGACACTCCCAATGTCCCCACACCCCAACCTCTTCAGCAGTCTGAAATGGCTAAAACCCAAGACCCCATCTTTTGCTCGGACAGCCTGAATAGCTTCCCATCTTGAATCATTTGCTTTGTGAGGCTTGCTGACATTGCTACTAATGCTGCTACATGTACTCTCATCACTCACATCGCTGCTTGTGCTTCCTCTACACATGCTGCTCTTGCCACTCTCAACAAAATCAACACGATCACTAACCTTGGCACTTCCACTGGTCTTGGTGAGAATGCTAGTTCCATTACTAGCTTTGGTAGAAGCTGAGCTGTCCTTAACACTTTGCTCAGATAATTTCTTTTCTTGATCATCACCAACTTCCAGTGAGCCCCTAGTCGCATTTACCGCAGGTGGAGGACCTACCTTGCTTAAAGATTCTGTTACCGTATGATCTCCCAAGGAGTGATTTGGATCAGTTTTATATGGCAACAAGTCATCAGGCCCCTTTTGACAAGGATTTGGAGATTTTTGATCCCCTGAAGCTTCGGAATTGATCTGCTTGGATGATATAGGTTGTACACTTCTTGGTAGTTTTTTTGGGGTAAGAAGCTCTGATTTGCTTGTTTTTGAAATCTGCAAAGGTGAAGGTCTATGAGGGGTTGCTTCTGTTTGACTACCAGCCACCTTCTGCTGCTGCTCTGAAGAACCTTTGGCACTAATTTTGGAGGCCATCGTAAGAATATAGACTCCTTAAGTAGAGCAAATTAAGGAAACCCATCACTTGTCCCTAAGTTTCAATCTCGCAGTGGCCCCCATCAACAAACCCAAATATTTCCTCACTAACTTCACAACGAACAGCTTCAGAAGATTATATCTGAAATTAATCAAATTAGCAAAATCAAAATAAAGTCAATAACATATTTAGAAAAAACCTTAGGGTTGCCCTAGATATTTTACTAGTTTGACCCCCTTCAATGTTCACATATTCAACTAGAAAATATAATCAAAGAAAAACATTTGACTTTTAAAAGAAACAAAAGAATTATGCAATAGTTGTTGCGAATAACTCTTCTGTCCCCATAACCCAAACTGGATGACATATCTTCAGATCAAAACGGCAGCTGTTTTCAAATAAAATGAATACAAATAACAAGGTATCCAATAAGAACCAGAGATCAAAGAACCCAAAGTTCCAAACTACTGCAATCCTTGCTCTTACGAATCAAAACCCCCAAGTTGTCACGAATAAATAAGAACACAACCTACAGCCAACAAACAGACGCCGTCTTTTTAAAGAGATAAAGGGAAGAGCAAGGAAATCATTGCATGAAAGCCCTGATCGAACACTTCCTGTAAACGATCAACAGGCTATCAAGAAAAAAATGAGATTATGAAAGTTTGTAAAGGAGAKTGAACTCAAAATGCATTATCCTTTTCCAACATCAACACACGAACACAGACAACCCGCTGAAACAAACAAAAACAGGGATAAATGATCCAAAACCCAACTTTTCCGGCGAAATAGAAGGATAGACGAACTTCCAAAAGAAAGGACTGAGGACAGCCTCTAAGAAATGCAGTTCTTCGAGATCTGTCAACAATCCCAAAAGCCAAATTTAAGAGAAATTTAAAAAAAAAAAAAAAAAAAAAGCAAGTACATCAAGTAAGCTAATCAGTAAACAAGGAGAGTGGTACAGAAACATATAGATCCTGATCGCAGACCCACAGCTGTGATCAAGCCCTACCAGAGATCCAAAACCCCACAAAGACCCAGAAGCTAAGARAAAAGAAGAAAGCAAAGCAAAGGATAAAGAGATCCATGCCCATCGAGAGAAACCCAAGACCACTAAAAGTAAAGAGAAAAGAAGCTCAAAAAGAGATTACCTGGTTTCAAAGATCAGAACTTTAGGGTTTTGCTTTAGCAGAGACAGAGAAAAGAGCAGTACTGCTGTAGTGAGAGAAAGAAGAAGAAGAGTGAGATTGGAGTAAGAGAAAAAGAAACAATGAGGAAGAAAGAATGCTTAAGCGTCAGACGGGATGGATGCGAAGGATTATTGTTTGTGCTCTAGAGAGAGAGAGAGAGAGAGAGAGGATGCAGAGAGAGAGGGAGAGAGGGAGAGAGATAGAGGGGAAGTGGTGGGGATCAAAGCTAAAGTTGGGTTTTTTTTCATTCAATTTTATTTCATTGTTTTTCTTCCCCGAATCAAAGGGTCCGAAACTCCGAAACCCAGTCACCTTTGTTCAGTTTACATCTACCCACCTTCTAGCCTTCACTTCCTCATTAATGACAAGAATGCCCGTTTCCTCTCTACGGTTGATGAGTTGAGAACAGAGAGAACAGAGGGGGGTCTCACTCCTCATAATCTCATCTCATCCATTTGTTCTCTTTTCCTTTTCTGCAATTGAATTGACAAGGAACAAGGGATGGATCCAATGGAATCAACTACTTCTTCTTTTTTGCTGTAAAATAGAATCTTACAGAAAGAAAGGAAGAAAGATATGAATATAGGATCGTGTGTGCAGTGACTTCAATTCAATGGATAGAGTTGTTCAGCGGTGCTAGACTGCTCGTCCAAAGTCTTCATGAGGCAAAGAGGTGGTCCATTGGAATGTGCATTCATGGCAAATACAAAGCACCCGTGTTTTTCTGGTATCAACTTTACACGTCCATCTAATTTTTTTTTTTTTTAAGCTGGTACTTGGCAGGTTTTCATGTCACATGGTGTTTTTGTAGGTGGGTCCACAATATAGCATACAACAATTCATGATGGGACGAATTTGAACCCAATAACTAACTATTCCAGTTTGGCTCACGTGGGAAAATTCTCCATTAGTATCGTGTAATTTGAGTTTAATGTTATTTTGGTCYCTGAACTTTAAAAATGCTATAGTTCAATATCAAAATTTTTAAAAAGATGATAATTCAGTACCTATTGTTAACTAGCTGTTAATTATTTGTTAAGTGACATTTGAAAAAGATGCAAATGCCCTTTGAGTGTTATCTAATTTTCTTTATCAACCATCYAAACATTGACAAAAAATCAACAGTGTCAAATATTTGCTTCTTCTATTTAGAAAAGTTGGATCACCAGAATGTCCACTCAAAGGTGACCCCAATTTTTTTGAATAGAAAAAACAAAAATTTGAGATCGTTAATTTTTTATCAATATTTAAATAATTGATAAAAAAATTAAATAACACTTAAAAGGCATTTGTGTCTTTTTTAAATATTATTTCACGACTAGTTAACAAAGTTTATATGTTGATCTCAATTCAAGTTCAAACTCTGCTCGAAACTCAATTTAAACCAAACCAAATTGAATTTTTCATGAACCAAATTAAGAACGAATGAGTTATAATCAACTAAGTTGGTCAATCAACCGAAATAATGTATTTATGGCGTTATGCAACATGGATTGGCCTTTTTGACACTGCTGATAAATGGGTTTGGATCTGATTTGGAAATTTGGGACCGATCCAGATGTGGGTCAAAGATGCCAAAGGTTTCTTCAGATTTGGGTCTCTTTTATTAGCCTCTGTACCAATCGTTCAAGTTATCTACCTCCTGCACGGGAGAAATTAAATCATCTTCTTCCTTGTTTCTTGTTGCGGTAATTTATTGGAACAGCGTGTGAGTTCAGGAAAAGAAGACCAGACCAGATCAGACAAGATTCGAGAGACATTTATAGCAATATCCATTAAACAAAAAGCTCATCTCTCTTTTGTTTGCTATAAAATCTACACCACAAAACTCTACTAACTAATCCAAACCAATGGACAACATTGATTCAAACACGACTGGCGATAGCTACACTGTTAGCAATAGCGATCATAGTTAGTATTTCAGGCTTTTCAGCTCAGGCTAAAGGGTTAGTAGTGTTTTCAATTTATTGTTGATTTAAGGCTGTATTTGGCATTTTAAAGACTTATCTTCTTTTTGTAGTTAAAATGTCTCTTATTGAACCGTTCGAACTATCATTTGATTATGTATATGTTTGGCACCAATGCTGCAGATGCAGCACTATTTTCTAAGAAAATTGTGTCTTCTGTTTTTCTTTTGTTTGGAATCGTTGTTATCAGGTAGGACGTTTCTTGGAATAATAACTTTTTCTATTTGGTACCAATGCTCCAGGAAACGTTTTTAGTATTGGTACCGATTATCCAATGCCACATCATTGCCATGTTGGCAATAACAAACTGCAGCTCCAGGAAACGTCAAATTTAACATTGCTCCAAACCATACCTTCCCGATTTCTGAAGCATGGCTTGGAGCACCATTTTTTTATGGAAAAACGGTTCCAAACAAATGCCCATTTTCTGGAACACTGTTTTTTCCGACATGAAACTGATGTGGCACATTTAATATAGCCTAGGTGCAAACCTCCTGGGGCCATAACTTTACACTTAGATGTGTAATTAGTGTTATCTTTTTTATTTGAAATCTATGTGTAACTTAATATTTTTGTCAAAAAAAAAACCTTTTGAATTGAGATCTCATTTTTTAGCATTTTTTATAAATAAAAAATATAAATATAAATTAAATAAAAAATAATGCATATATTATACATAGAATATTATTATATATTATTTATTGATAAAATACATGGCATGATCTAACATGTTCGAATTGATAACCCATGACCGAAACACGTTCCAACCCTCTATTACCAACATGATCTCATATATGGCAGATTCACTTTTATGGTGGGCCCCAGTGTCATAGTGAAATGTACGGTATTAGATCAAGTTGGTAGAGGGTTGGAAGGTGTTTAAAGGGCAGAAGATCCCAACTGAATCGTTTTAGGGACTCTCGGCTGAACTCCGCTCCGCCAAGGCGTCAACCCAATCCCAATTCCCCTGTTGTTATCGAGTCCTCCCTCCCCATCGGTCCCTTCTTTCTCTTTCTTGATGTTTTGTTAAGTTTCCATCAACTTGACCGGTCAATAGTGAGGTCCAGCCCCGAAGGTCGCGACACAGAAATTGCTGGTTGAATTACGGCAGAGGAGGAAGAAGGGAAAGGGACGACAGATTCTTTTTCTCATTTTGCTTACACCACTGACCAAAGTCATTACAAGCTTCCTCCTAACAAAACCTTGCCTTGCCGCCACCACCAATCTCTTTAATTCTTCCTTTTGACAAAATCTACACAAACATGCTTTTTTATTATTCTTGCTTGTTCACCGACCCTGTTTTAGGTTTAGCCACTTGGAAATTTGACGTGGCTAATTTGATGATGATGTGGCAATTGCCAACATATCTCTGTCACTCCCATGGRCCTTAAGTTTAACCGATCAAAATCCTAAGATTAACTTTGATCATTAATCAATGCTTGAGCTTGTGGTGATCCATCGGGCAAGTGGGGTGAGCCATACTTGATTTTAGGGTCCATTTGGTTACAGTTGAAACTGAAATCAGAATCAGAATCAGAATTGGAATGGTTTATTCTCATAGTCTGTTTGATTCAGACAGGAATGTGAATGAGAATGAAAATAAGAGTAAATAGGAATGAGATTTCATTCACAAGAGGCAGGTTATGGCTCCTCCCTCAAATGGTCCAAAAGAAATAGGAATAGGATTCCGGTTCTACTCAACCAAACAATTGGAATTGGAATAATCCATTCCAATTCGGATTCCAGACTCCTATTACCACAAACCAAACGGGTTAGAATTTTTAAAACCCGTCTGAGAAAACTTTTGTGGTGATTAATCTACATTAATCGAGTCACTTCTGAGAAGTTATTTATGATAGTTTCATTGGAAATGTCAATTTTTTGACTCATGTAAGCTATCCACAAGTCTACACAACAGGGATAATCTATCCCCAAGTGCAAGCGAGATTGTTACAATTAGCTAGAGACCAACCAGTCAGTTGGCACCTTGCCTTTTTTTTTTTTTAATTTTCTACGTCTTTAATTTCATGCAATTTCGCAGCCATTACATGAAAGCCCTTTCAAACGGGGCACTTTGAAAAGAAATAGAGGTAAGGTTAGAGAAAATTAGGGGTGTCAATGGTATTCGAAAATCCGATTTCAAAATTGAAATTTGACATAATTGAATTGAATTTGGATAACTCAAATATTTAATCGATCAAATTTGGATATTTTATTCATATCAAATTATTAATCAGATTCGAATTCGGATATGACCTGATTCAATTCGATAAATATTCGAATTTGACCGATTATTTAATTCTTATATATGATATGTAAAATATTTAAATGTCTTATATAATTTATATATAATAATTAAATTATATAAATAATTTATATACTTTATATAAATAAAATATTTATTTTATATGTTTATTAATTACCTAAATAATTAATTAATCGAATTCGAATTTGAATATTAATTTTTAATATCCGTCGAATATCAAATCAAATTCGAATATCAAATTTTCTAATCGGATTCGAATTTGGATATTGCTTGATCCAATTTGAATTCGATCCATTTACCCCCCTAGCAGAATATATATATATAGAAAAAATCGCAATGAAACAAACCCACTCTATAATACAAATACAATAATTCAAAACTTTCAAAACCCTCATCTAAACATGATTTAGAAACAAACATACAAATTTCCCAATTATACAGCGAAGTTAAAATTTGTTAGATGGGGTAGATGAAATTTCTCCAGATATATATTTCCTAACAGTACCTAAATCATAGGATATCAGGGGGAGGGGGGCCTTGGGGGTCTGGGCTACTCACCATCAATCCATTGCATTTGCATCTCTCATTCTCTCTATCTCAAAAATAAAAAATAAAAAATAAAAAATAAAAAAAATAAGAGAGGGATCGATCTCCATCTCCAATTCTCCATTAGACTTGTTCATGGGCCGGGCCAGGCCGGGCTTGAGCTGGACTTTTACTCTTCATGAATAAAAATTTGTTAGGCCCGAACTTGAGCCCAATCTGACCAACGGGCCTACAACTTGGGCCTGAGCCCGACCTTGATAAAAAGCCCGAAGCCTGAGCCCGGACTTTTACTCACCGCTGATAAATGTGTTCACGGTGAACTGGGATTTTAACAGTGAAAAATACATCAATTTGCGTCAGAGAGAGAGAGAGAGAGCTGTTATTTGCCAAGACAATATTTTTCTTCAAAAAAATCAGATTTTTATGAAAAAAAGAGATTCCTTCTTAGGCACCGTAATAGTAGTCATACTGTATTGATGAGATGCTTCTGGTTCTCGGTGGATACGCTGGTAGCCTGGTAGGTAGTCTGGTACACGTTATTCCAAACGAATTGAAGACAAAAAATATCCACCTGGACACGTCGATTCCATTATCTAATATCTCAATTAACCGTACAATGGAAGATTGCTGTCTCTACTACTCATTCCAAATTCTAAGATGAAGAAGAAGAAGAACATTAACAAACGTTTTCTAATGAACAGGTTACAGCTGCTAGCTGTGCTTGTGTCTAAATAATTCATGCATGATTCATTGGGTGGTGGAGGGACAACGTTGTGACTGTGAGCTGTGATTCCGACAACCTTCCCACTTCAAGACAGAGAAAATGCCAA